TAAAATACAACCAACAGAACATGTAAAACTGAATCAAAAAGTTAAACAAACATCTTTAAGATATAAGTATAGACTGTTTCAAAGCAGCTTTACAGTGATAACAGGAGATTACAGTAACTACAGCTACAGTAATTACAGCAGCTCTAGAATAAAGTTTTTGTCCAGACAAAGTTAGTTTTGATTGATTCCGTTGCAAAGATCATTAGTTATTAACTCAGGCCTTATCCACACGGACACGGGTATTTTAATTACCGTGACTTTTTTTAACGCGGTTCGGCCGTTCGTCGCAGTATCAGGACACTGAACATTTTTGAAAATGTTGATTTTCAGAAACGCCGGTGACAGTGTTGTCATGTAGACAGTTTGTTTTTGCCGAAGTGATGACGTCACTTTGTAGGACAACTCGGATGTTAGCAGCGCATGGGTTCCCTCAATTGAAAAGCAATGCATTTTCCCCATATACATTTAGAAAATCGCAAAAAATAAGTTGCGACCCTTACGCGTTTTGTCTATCAAGATAATTTTTATCTTGTTTATAAAAATGTATATATTTTGAAGCCTATATAAAGTAAAAAAAAAAAAAACACAAGCAGGTTATAACTGGTGTGTTTCATGTCATAGATCAAAACATGAGGCGTTGTTCACCACAGACCTTATTTCAGGCGATTTAGCAAAAACCCATAGAGCCGGGAGTGCTAAAATGCTAACTCACTTCCGCGTTTTGGCCTACAAAGTCACGTCATAACTTCGGCACTCTATAACTTTTTGTTTGGCTTCTGATTGGCCAATGTGGCTTTACGGTTAGGGTTATATCGCCTCCTGCTGGTAGCGTGTTTTTGCTTTTTCATCTAGACAGAGATTTTTATTAAATTCAATGTTTTTTTTTTTTTAACCGAGCATTTTTTTTTTTTAACGCAGGAGAAAGTGGACAAGGCCTTAGTGGCCGCTTACATGACGGAAATCTTTTAATGCGCATTTACACGACAACAGTGTTCGGTGCTGAATGCAAACCTTGAAACAGCTTCCAAGATAAAAAATGTTGTAATAAATTTATCATCTCTGTGTAAACTTCAAAAACGCGAATCTGTGAAAACGCTGATTCTGTCTCTACTTTAGCTTCTACTGTTGGGCATGTTACTTAAAAAAGTAATTAGTTATAATCACTAGTTACTTCTCACAAATAGTAACTGTTAAATCATTATAAAAGTAACTAATTACCAGGGAAAGTAACTATTGGGTTACTTAAAAAAAATGTTAAAATAGGCCTATGTCAAACAACTTGGATGCACCCAATATTAAATATTTTAAATTAATGAAATGGACACTATATAATACATTATTATTATAAAACATTGTAATCTACACTATCATGGACACATGTGAGATACATCTATAAAATTCAATATATTATTTTAAATATGGGTGGTGATGGCGCAGTTGATAAGACACGTGCCTTTGGTGTGAGAGACACAAATGTGTCCCATTGACAAATTATTTAAAACGTTGCAGATGATACCAATAGGCTACAAAGATTATTATAATGCTGAAATGTGTAATTTATTTATAAACAAACTATATAATGCTCGGACACACTCACATTTACTCCTTTCCTTTCCTCCTGTTGCTGATCTCCTGGCCTGACGTGACTCAGGGTTTAATAATTATATTCATCATGACTAGTCTTTAGGAAAGTCCCTGTTTTTATCTCTTAACTTGAACCAGAGGCAGACGAATCATCTGTTCCCTTTGAATGTTCAGTGTGGAGAAATTATGAGGAAATATTTAATGAATTATGTCAAAAATTTTCCATGTTAATTTCCACGCCCATTACTGTAATAAGTCTGGATTTCTTATTATTCTCCATAATGATTTTCATTGTAATGAATCATCCTGTCTAGATACACAATGATGTTTTTAATTATTTAAATCAGCATGAATTAAAACAGTCTTCATGTCTTGATTTAAGTGTCATAAACTCAAATCCTAAATGATTAAACGTAAAAAAGGCATAATATTAGGAGGCGCCAATAAGCAATATTTATTTATTCATCCATCTGTTCATTTATTGTGCAAAAGTGTCAAAACAATGTGTGTTACTACTATGTTATTGACCATTTAAAGCTAATTTACTCTTTCTCTTTCTGGTTATAAAGATACATGGATACAGGACTGTCTGCGGCCAATGAAACGAGGAGTGTTTTTCTCAGGGATGAAAATATGCAGTTTCATGATGCGATGGGAACACAGCAGGAGACCTGTGTGTGTGTGTGTGTGTGTGTAGGACAGCTGTGTATCCAAGACATAAAATAAAATAAATAAATTACAGATTCAGTAGACAGCCCTACTCACCGTTCTCAGCTCTACACAGGTTTTCTGGCTTGTAACAATCCATAAATTGTTAGAAGCTGAAGAAATTGTTAAAATCCTAAACGTTTTTTTAGGTTGATGCTCATAAAAATGCTGTTTCTCTTCTTTTCTGTGTTGCCAAATGAAAGTCTGAAAGCAGTTTGATTCTCTTTCAACATCTACACAAGCAAATCCAGGACACGTGTCGCTTGATTTAAGAGCTTCTGGTAGAAATGGCATTTCTAAACTTCTAAATGTGTAGTTTTATATTGTAAATAACCTCTTAAAGTTTGGATAAACTGAAATCTGCAAAGGTAATTATTATAGATTTAAGATTTACAATATAACACATTACATACTGTATATTATTAGTACAAGGGATGTACATGAGTGCTCTGATCTCACCTATTATTAATAATATGAACTATGGTCAGTTATTATAGTTAGGTGACTTTTTGCTAAATTTGAAAAAAAAAAATTGAAGAATTGCTTTTAGGAAAATTCTTTTGAGAAATGTCAACTTTTTTTAGTTTAGGGTTTAATTCTCACTATTAACTAGTTGCTTATTATCCTGCATATTACTAAGATATTATATTAGCTGTTTATTACTTACAAAGCACATATTAATGCCTTATTCTGCATGACCGTATTCTACATCTTTTAATCATACCCACCCAATATCTAAACTAAACTATTAATAAGCAGTAATTAGGAGTTTATTGAAGCATAAGTCATTGTTAATAGTGAGAATTAGAACCTAATCGTAAAGTGTGACTGTTTTTTCTTTTCATTTTTTTTTTGTAACTCCGGCCACTGATTTAAAGGGATAGTTCACTTTGAAATAAATTTTTGATATGTTTTAGCTTCCCTCAAGGGCATCCAAGATGTAGGTGTCTTTGTTTCCACAGTATTTTCAATTTTGATATTTTTCGGTCAAACCGTTCGTGTCATCAGTCATATAATGCAGGTCAATGGTCACCACCTCAAGTCCAAATTAAACATGATTAAACATGACTCGTAAATGTATTTTTTTTGATGTCCTAAGACACGAAACGAGCTGTTTGTGTGAGAAAACCAACAGTATTTATATCGTTTTTACCTCATGTAACCACAGTCACAAAGCGCCCGTGCCCTCAGATCACTTGGACGTGGCTGTGGCTCAAGAGGTAAAAACGATATAAATACGTTCGTTTTCTCACACAAACCGCTCATTTTGTGTCTTAGGACATCAATGTGTACTTACATTTACGAGTCATTAAATCATGTTTAATTTGGACTTCTCTGTGCATGCTCTTTGAGGTGGTGACCATAGACCTCCATTATATGACTGATAGACATGAACGGTTTGACCTAAAAATATCAAAATTGAAAATACTGCGGAAACAGACACCTACATCTTGGATGCCCTTGAGGTAAGCTAAAACATACCAAAAATTAATTTCAAAGTGAACTGTCCCTTTAAGAACCGATTCCAGTTCTTGATGTCATATGTTCTTCAGACCATAACATTGGTTCTAGGTCTGGAATCATATAATGGAATCAATCTGTAAAAATATCCTAATTGTATTCTATAACAATTCATTTTTTCGGAATTCTAAACTGTTTCAGCACAATCAACCTGACATTCTACAACACTGTCGTGTGTAAGCGTGTCTGGATGCTGGGGTGAAATCGGACTCCAGGTTTGGGAGGGAGAGCATCTGGAGAGCACCTAAAGCACTCCGCCCACCACTCCCAAACCTCCCGTCCAAACGGTTCCAGGACCGCCAGGACACAGGTGTGTGTGTGTTTGGACACAGGTGGGTGTGTGTTTGGCATGTGCTGGAGGCGTGATGCAGGTGTACATGTGCCAATTTGGGGCCGTCTAATCTGGAGGTGGACGCAGGTGTGTGGCTACGAGATAATGGGCGCTTGAGGGGTTTCTGTTCTTTGGACAAAATAAAACGTCCTAATCAGTTGCATGATAGGCAAGAGTCTCGCGTGATATCATGACCCTCGTGCACATGTAATGCAATGCCTTTATTAAGGGCAGGTGAGGCGGTAATGAGTCCTGCAATTATGTTCAAAACGCATAACGCAGTTTGATTTGATCCAGGTAACGCCATCGTTTTGGGAAAGGAGAATATTTTACTCATACGAACGTTCAATGTATTTGCATTTCAGATGATACTATAAAAGTGACATTTGGATGTTATGTGAGTTTATTGATGGTAAACACTCTTTATATTGTGTCTCATGCAGAATCAACAGATTAAAATGATATGAAAGGCGCCATGCAACATGCAAAACACATAATGAAGTCCACGATTCACAGGGAAAATGTTTGTACAATGTTCTTTTAAAATAACTTTTTGGGTCTCGGTCATCTAATTTCATTTTCACTTTAATTGAATGTCAGTTGCGCTTGAAAATATATGAAGGTTATTGCAATAGACATCAAAAATATTGCATTATTTTTTCAGAAGTTTTTTTTAATTGATATTTAATGCAATTATATTTAGGTATTTTAAGTGTGCTTTAATTCGTATCTCACTCTATATATGTTCTCTTTTTAAATATTTCTGCAGATACTGAAGTTATTTAGACCAAACTAGTCATAACAATGGTTTATTGCTAGTAAATGCACTGAATTACATTTTCTGTTTGACAACACTTTGAAATGATACGTAACTTGAAGCAGAAAGTAATGCCTCATTCACAGCCTGATGATGCATGGAAAAGGTTTTTGCAATTCACTCTCAAATGACTTGTTTCCTCTTGATCATCAAATATGCCACTTAATTTTCAATGGAATTGAATGTCAGATGCACTTTTTGGACACTTGAGTTACACATGATCCATCATCAAACGACGTGACGACACTATTTTCTTAGAATATTTTGTTTTCAAATGCAGTTCACTGTAAAAAGATTTGTTATCACAACATTTTTTCTTTTGTCAAATCAACTTAATTTTTTTTAGTTCAGATAACTTATCATTTTGAATCAATCTCCTTCATTGTATTAACTCACTTTTTCCAGTTCAATCAACTTAAAATTTTAAGGCAACCAGGTTACTTATTTTTTTAAACATTTTTTTACAGTATAGTGGCTTAAATGTCTTTTTTTATACATAATTCTGATTGGATACTGAAAATGACACGAGATTGTCAGTAAACACCCTGTCTTTTATTTTCTGTTTGTCTTGCAGAACCAGCAGATGAAGCTGATACGAAAGGCATCATGTAAATGTTGGCGATCTGCAGCGCTTTTATGGCGTCTGAGACACAGGACTAATTGTGTCCTCTGGTGAAGATGGATTTGCATGCTTTAACTTATGCAGCGTGACTCGCCTTGCTCTCGTACACTAACTCTGACACACACACACTCACTTTCAACCCCCTTCTGTTGAGCTCGCACGCTCTTACAATTGAAACAGACCTCGTGTATTTCCTCCTTTTCAAGAAAATGCCAACAGGTGGAGGTTTGATAGACCGGCCCAGACGCCAGATCGCACAGAGCAGAAAAAAGTCCGAATGAAATTTGCTGGAGCATGTGACCTGAACGGCCCAATGACACTCGGATGCTTTTTTTTTTTTTTTAGTTGTGGGGAACGGTTAAACTTGTCGTCTGGCTAAGGGAGAAGCTTTTTCTGTGGGCCGCCACAACCACAAACCAAGTCTGCGACCGGTCACGGCTCTCTAGGCACTAGAGATCTGCGAGATAAAGATAGACGAAAGGGACTGAAGAGCACGAGGGGGGAGGGAGATGCGTGTTGATGTCATCGTGTGAAACAGACAATTCGCCGGAAAAACCACAGCGACACGTTTGCGCTCCTGCTCTTTTGCTCAAGGGTAAGCATCAGTTAACCACAGGCTGACCACCGATCGCAATCGCCCGTGTCTGTGAACCATGCACAGAGTCCCAGGACCGAACCGCCTCTCTGGACCGGCTCAGGGCGACCACGGGTTCCCGGGTGTGGGTGTGTACTGCATGTCGGGGTTCGGGGATCAGCGTTCGGGCCAAGCCTCTTGCATGTCGTCATGCGTGTGTGTTCTTGCTCTTTGCAGGGCAAAACGGGGAGCCCTTCAAAATTCGGGAGCAGATCAAGTTGGAAGCGTTGGATTCGGACGAAGACGAGGAGATGGCCTCCAACAGCATCTTCGAAAGCTTCTCGTCGTACCAGTCGTGCTTCTCCAGGGGTGAGTGTCCGAGCCGGTGTTTTACTCTCTCCACGCCGATGTTTGCGCCAAATGACGAAGCTGGTTTGCAGTGTCGGTGGAGTACTGAAATCTTGTGGCTGAATCTGAAAACCACAGGTCTGTGGGTTACTGAGTACTGGTTAACCTCATTCAATGCATGCTGGACTCCGACGGGTTTCCCAGCTGGAGAAAAACGGAGCTGTGTCGGTTTTTGCATCGTGCCAAACTTACTATTGCTTTAATGTTTTTTAAGCTCATGTTGCTTATGCTTTAATAGTGGGAGAGGTTGTATTGAATGCTGAACCCTCAATAGATTAATGAGGTTGATCTTCTCTGGCAGCGAGTCTGAAAGCTTCAGTGAAATCCAGGAAAAGAACAACAAGACTGAATTGAAGTAGAAACTGCATTGGCACTTTTCTTGAGAAATTCTTGTTCCATGAGGCTGTTTATTAAATATGTTTCGCCTTTAATGCACAAATTTTAGTTCACTTTTAAAAAAACTTTTGCTGATATGCATGTCATCCGAGATGTCCATGTCTTTCTGTCTTCAGTCGAAAAGAAATTAAGGTTTTTGATGAAAACATTCCAGGATTTTCTCCATATAATGGACTTCAATGGGAACCAAACGGTTCAAGGTCCAAAAGACAGTTTCAGTGCAAACTGTTCAAAGCGCTTTAAACGACTCCAGACGGGTCTTATCAAGCGAAACGAGCGGTTATTTCAAAACTTGTTCCAAAAATGTAACTTTTCTAAGGACAAATGCTAGCCTTGCTCTATTCTGTGAGGCGCGTTTGTAACGTCACGTAATACGTAATTACGTTCAAAAGGTCACAGGTGACGTAGCCGGAAGTACAGAATCAGTGTTTACAAGTTTTACCTTTTAATTCCTTTTTTTGTAAATGGCGTTTGAGTTAGTTTCACGTTCAACCTATGCGTTCAACTTGTAAACATTGACTCTGTACTTCCGGCTACGTCACCTGTGACCTTTTGAACGTAATTACGTATTACGTGACGTTACAAACGCGCCTCACAGAATAGAGCAAGGCTAGCATTTGTCCTTAGCAAAGTTACATTTTTGGAACAAGTTTTGAAATAACCGATCGTTTCGCATGATAAGACCCTTATTCATCGTCTGGAATCGTTTAAAACGCTTTGAACAGTTTGCACTGAAACTGTCTTTTGGACCTTGAACCGGTTGGTTCCCATCGAAGTCCATTATATGGAGAAAAATCCTGGAATGTTTTCATCAAAAACCTTAATTTCTTCTCGACTGAAGAAAGAAAGACATGGACATCTTGGATGACATGGGGGCGAGTAAATTAATCAGCAAAAGTTTTTTCAAAAGTGAACAACTCCTTTAAACGATTCCAGACGATGAATAAGGGTCTTATCAAGCGAAACGATCACTCATTTAAAAAAAAAAAATAACAAAGTTTAAGTTTTATAAGCTCAAACGCTCGCCTTGCTCTGCTCTGTGATGCGCGTTCGTGACTCTCCTGTTCAAACTCGTTCATCAAAATGAACGAATCTTTTCCCGAGTCAACTCATTCATTTCGTTCGTTGGATGAACCAAATGACACGAAAAAAGATTCGTTCATTTCGTGCTCCCATTAAAGACAATTCAAATACAATACATAGTATGGCACAATAATTAGCGTTAACACATTTAGAGCTTCTTCATGCCATGAGAAAGAAGTCCACTCTTGGTCTAAATCTCAGTTCTGTTTTTTTTTTTTTATATTATTCTGATGAAAACAGCTTCATGTGTATGCAGCTCTGGACTTTCCCTCTCATTGGAGGCTGTGGAGTTTCTAAAGCGCTGTTTTTGATGCCTGTGGGTGTGTGAGTTCACAGCTGAGGCCCAAAGATGATGCTTTAGTTTCTTGCTCAGACTGAAAGGACTGTGGGTTAAGGGTGAATGGAAATTACCCTGGTTTGGTTAAACTGACTCATTTAGCGGGTCTGATGTCCTCCTCTCTGAGTGGATCATCTCACAGATGCTGTTAATTGGCTCTTCTAAGTTAACTCACTCACTTATAACTGTTTTAGTGTTTTGTTTTGTTTTTAGAAATGCTCATTCTAGATCCTGCCGTGAGATCATTTCTAAAGATGATGTTAATGAGGTTATGAGGTCTGGTTGCTTTACTTGAAAGTCTCATTTCAGCTTGTTTGCTTATTGGTTTGTCAGCTAATTAAAATGTATTTATCAAGTTCATTCTTAACTGAAAGTTGTGCAGGAGCTAGTCCTGTAGAAACTTAAACATTCAATTATTTATTTTTTTGTGAACAAATGTAGAGTCTCAGTTCTCAGTTCAATTATTTCTAACTGTTTTAGTGTTTTAAATCCACGTATGAAGCACTCGTGTTTGTTCTAGATCCTGTCGTGGGATCATTTCTAAAGGTGATATTAATGAGGTTATGTTTTTACTCAGTTGCTCATTTCAGTTTCCTGACTGTCTGTTTCTCATACACACATGCATCTTGATGTGTGTGAGCGCTTTCAGTTAACACAGGAAGTTTATCAGTCGCACCCGATGCGTGTTTCTTCTTAAACACATGCGAACAGCCTCGATGTAACATCTCAAAAACGAGGCAAAGGCCACATGACTATAAATAAAAAAATCTTTTTTCTACTAATATACTTGAGATGAGTGAACATGCACTTCATTTGCTGTCATGTTTAAAACGTGATTTATATCCCATATAAAAACATTAGAGTAATGCATTTCATTTCATTGCATTTAATTTCTTTCTCATTTTATGTACACTGGGTTGTTTCAACCCAAATTTGGGTCAAATATGGACAAACCCAAATGTTGGGTTAATTAAAAAATGTACAGTTGAATGTGAAAGTTGGGTTAATTTTAAATTACATTTTTAACCCAACATTTGGGTTTGTACATATTTGACCCATGTAGAACTTGATTCACTCTAAGAAATGTTGGCTTGTTTCAACCCAAATTTGGGTCAAATATGGACAAACACAAATGTTGGGTTAAAAATGCATTAAAAAAAGTTGAAAGTTAGAAATTTCATTTTTAACCCAAAATGTGGGTTTGTCCATGTTTCATCCAAATTTGGGTTAAAACAACCCAGCATTGTTTAGAGTGTCTGTAGAACTTGATTCACTCTAAAAAAAAATGTTGGGTTGTTTCAACCCAAATTTGGGTCAAATATGGACAAATCCCAATGTTGGGTTAAAAATGCAATTAAAAAAAGTTAAAACTTGAAGTTGGGTTAAAATTAAAACCCAAATTTGGGTCAAATATGGACAAACCCAAATGTTGGGTTAAAAATGCAATTAAAAAAAGTTAAAAGTTGAAGTTGGGTTAAAATTAGAATGCAAATTTGGGTCAAATATGGACAAATACAAATGTTGGGTTAAAAATGCAATTAAAAAAAAGTTAAAAGTTGAAGTTGGGTTAAAATTAGAACCCAAATCTGGGTCAAATATGGACAAACACAAATGTTGGGTTAAAAATGCAATAAAAAAAGTTGAAAGTTAGAAATTACATTTTTAACCCAAAAGTTGTGTTTGTCCATATTTGGCCCAAATTTGGGTTAAAAATAACCCAGCACCATTTAGAGTTTATGTAGAACTTGATTCACTCTAAGAAATGTTGGGTTGTTACAACCCAAATTTGGGTCAAATATGGACAAACCCAAATGTTGGGTTGTTGAAAGTTAGACATGACATTTTTAACCCAAAATTTGTGTTTGTCCATATTTGGCCCAAATTTGGGTTAAAAACCAGAGTGTCGACGCAATATTATATGGCAAGTTGCGACAGTGCTTGACAACACTATAATATATCGAATCTCCGCTTTAGTTATTCCCTGACTTTACTTAGTTTGTACACATCTTGCACTCTATTTTCCTCACAATAACATTAGCAGTCGACTTCACGTCAAAGTAAAGCAGTTGTGTCCAATAATAGCTGCTCCAATCACTATATAAGAATGAAATACACCCGTTTCCCTGATTACCTCAACTGGGCAGAGGCTTTGCACATGTGTATGTTTTCCCATGTACATTTGCATTTACATTTAATTATATGTTGCATACAGCCCATTTGCATCTGCTTTTATCAAGGAAAAACTATCCATATGCAAAGTTGAAGGACATGTCAACATATGCAAGAATGGAGTAGCGTACGTATATGCGCACTGGGTTTGTGTGTTTGTGGCCTTTTTCATCTATATCAGTGCACCAACCGACAGACACGTGCGAGGATTTACCCATATATCTCTCTGTGGTATCGCTTTATCAGATCATGTGTGTGTGTGTGTGTGTGTAACCCTCTCTATCTGTATCACTATCCATCTCAAATTCTCAAATTAAATCCGCTCTTAAAGTTACTTATTTTTTGTAAATATAAGTTTGATTTGACATTCTGGCTTGACATGTTTATTAGTGTGAGATTAGTGTGAAAGCCGCTTTAAGGCCCGTTCACACCGATCTAAGATAAAGATATAGATCTAAAAAAAATTCTCAACATTAATAGCAGAGTCCACAACCATAACGGGAAACGATAACGTTGGAATCACTTTCAGAACGATTTTAAAAATATTGACACCCAATCAGAGACCTCGAGTAATGATACACAATGATATCGTCTGCCACGTGGACGCTAGTATAGATATTGCTATCATTATATCGTTATCGGTCTTGGTGCAAACGGCAAAAAGCAGTTGTTTAACGTGGCCAGTATGTTTTCTATAATTATTTTTTGCAATCAGACCAGTTTTTGATCAACTAAATATTTTGCTTCAAATTATTTATTTAACTAGTTCATTGGAATAAAGTAACTTGTTGCAATAAATCATTTTTTTTTTAATTACCATGACTTGAAGTAAGTAGTATCATCACATTTAGTTTTATTTCATACCACTAAATCTGCACACGGAACACAATAAATATAGGATTTACTTTTAAACAATTTCCACTTTTGAAATTGCTAGTAAATTTCACAAATAATTACAAAGAAAAAATTAAATGTT